TTTATANATATATATATATATATATATATATATATATATATATATTAAAAATGTATATTATTTATATATTACATATACATGTATATATTCACGTATACATTGAATAAGTTAAAATATTAATATTTAAGATTTTTTCAATATTCAAGATATAAATAACAATTTCTGAAAGTTTTAAAGAACATAAATAAATATTAATAAATATTATACATACATGTATATGTATATATTTATATATATAATATGTTATTTTTTCGAAAATAAAGATTATTTATTGTTAAATTTTAATAACGATTTTAAATATATAAACATGTTAAACATTTATGTTTTAATAATATTTTTAAATTATTATTTTTCTTTTTATATAAATAGTAAATTATGAGAATTATATTATTATTATAAATGAATAAAAATTTTTATTCTTATTTTGTTCTTAATCAACAATAAACTATAAAAACTTTATTAATTTTTAAAATCTCTAATTTTTTTTTAAAAAAATATAAGTAATTAATAAAAATGATGCTTAATATTTCTAAAAAGTTTATAGGAAATATCATATTTTAAAATAATGAATTAAACAGTTTTAATGTTACCAAACAAAAAAATTACATGTATGTAAAAATTTTTATTGTAATTAAATAAATTCACTTTAAATAAATCTACACAACTTTAAACTTCATATTATCAAAAACTATATTTAACTAATCTAATACCAACATTATTAATAAATTATTATTTAAAAAACCTAGAATAATTGAATATTTATTTTGAACAATAAAATTTAGAATCTAAATGATGGGAAAAAAATTTAGATAACATATTATTTGAATAACAAAATCATTTGTTAATTTAATATTAGAATATCAAAACGTTCGAATATTAGATCTCTGAATACATTTTTTCTATTATATTTTACTGCGCTATATAAAATCTTCGATCGAGTAAGTGTTCGGATATTGGAGATTTTACTGTATTTTAAATTTTGCTATATAAAATCTTCTTGGTGATAGAACGTTCGAATAAATATGTAGGTCTTTGAAGGTTCTAGTAGTATCATAAATTCTGTTATATGAAATCTTTTATATTGCAAAATGAAATAGATAGAAAAAATTCGCTCCATTTAAAAGAAAAAGTTTTTATCTTTGATCTTTTAATTTATGTATTAGTTAATGATTACTAATTTATTATTTCTAATATAATTTTTTATTGAAACTGTTATTATAATTCTCTTAATTTATTGAATATTATTGAATAAAAATAGATATGAAAAAATATTAAATTAATTGCAAAAACAATAATATTTTTATATATTTTGTATATGAAATTTAATTTCATAAACTAATTAATATAAAATTTAATTTGTATAAAATATAATTTTCATAAAAATATCTTTTTTATTTTTCTTTTTAAATTTTTTTTCAAAAAATTAAATAATTAAATCTTAATTATTATCTATTTTAGTTTAATTTGAAATGTAAAGTTAAAATTTCTTTTGATTCTTAGTAAACTGTAATTACTTTTTAATTTAATATTGCAATTTTATATAAATATAATAACTTCCAGTAAATTGTATAAATTCTATTATGTTTTGATCTTTGATTATTGACTAATAATCAATAATAAAATATATATATACTTAAACATTCTTTTTCAATATTTTATTTTTACAATATTTTCTATTTACAAAACAAATAATGTTTAATTGAGTTAACGTAAAATTCAATGTAAAATTTATCAAAAAACAAAAAAAGTATCTAAGATTCATAATGCAATAATAATTAATACAGTAGTACATCAATCAAAAAATTATATAATAAAAATTATATAAAAAATATAGTAATAGATTAATGTTTAATATAAACAAAACTTTATACAAAATTCTTTTAATCAAATGCAACAAATTAAAAAACATTGATTTATTTTTATAGAGAAATGAAAGAAGAGAACGAGAACAAAGAGAAATGGCTAGGCTTGCTGCGAAAGAAGCAGGAATAGGCAGTGACGATGGTTCTTCGAGAATTTCAAGATCTCATTCGATTACTGATAGCGATACCTATACCCAGGTAAGAAAGTAAATTGATTATTAATAATATAAATAAAAAAAAATTTAATAAATGATATTATAATATGTATATTATACTATTATTATTATAATGTATAATGCAATATGAATAAAAAGTTTAAAAAATTTTCAATAATAATTTTTGAATAATTTTTGAACTTAAAAAATTAGATCAAATAATAAAAATTATAAAATTCTATTTTAAAAAAGTATAATAAAATTGCATTTTTAAGATGTACTAATGCATAATAGTATATAAAATTATATCTAGTTATTCATTATTCAATATCATTTGATTTCATTAATATTTTTATTTATCTCTAAACATTTTAAATGTATATACAGTTTTTTTACATATAACGCACTATGTGTGTATATATATATATATGTATATTGCATTTTCATCAATTATTATAAATAGATTATAATGGATATAGAATTAAGGGATTGTTATGAATAATTTTTTACATGATTAAAGAAATGGAGCTTAAATGGAAATTTGTTTTATTTTTTTAATATAATAATGCGTATTATATTTTGAATATTATAAATTTTTACATATTTTACATATCATGTGCATTTTTTGAATTTTTGCATAAATATCCAAATACATAAAAATCCATAGTTTAATTATAAATAACAACAAATAGTTATAATTCTCTATTTAATGGAATTTTTGATGAGATATTTTTTTTTGTCATTTCAAAAAGAAAAAAGATGAATAGTCTAAATTTCTTAAATAGAACATATATTACATTATATTACATTATTTCACATAACTTACGGGATAAATGTTTAATGAAATTGATTCAAAAATATATCTTTTTTGATTTTAATATGAAGAAAACATATTGAAATTTTATATCAAATATTATATCTTATCATGTATGTATTTTTTTGAAAAATCATGCAACAATAATTAATTTATAAGTTAAAAAAAACTGAATACACAAATATGAAACACAATTTGTAGAGAAGTTTATCACATGTTTCTTGCATCTTTCTAAAAGCTTTATCGACCACTTCAAGTTATACCTATATTTGCGAAACATTTTATGCAAGAAGCAATTTGTTTGAAGAAGGGAGTAAAGCAATCTATCAAAGGAGGTTTATTATCGATCAGTGGACAGCGATATCATTAATCAAATTAAGATATATGAAGTATATTTTTGTTAAAATCTAACAGTAAAAAACATCTAAGAAAAGATAAATCAAATTATTATTACTTATTTATTACTTTGTATAATCTAATTTATTTTGTTGTATGTTTATAAATATTAATTTATTATATTTATTATATAATAAATATATTTATATAAAAATATTTATATAAAAATATTTATATAAAAATATTTATATATAAATATATTTATTATATAATTATTATTTGTTCTATAAATTCTTTAAAATTATTTTTTTTTAATAATATTAAAAAAATATATTTTATAATATAATATTTTATTCCTTTTCTATCACTAAAATAAATTATAAAAATAAAATTTCTTCATAAAATATATTGCTAAAATATATTCTGTTATTTAATAAAAACAGAGTAATGTGAATTAGATATAAATTTCTTAAATTTAAATTAAATTTTGAATTAAATTATTCATTATTTATTTTAAAATAAAAATGTTAAATTAATATTTAACAACAGACAAAATAATTCTTTATCAAAGATTTATTTTTTATCACAAGTGACATTTTTGAAAATGATTCTGACACAACTTTAATAGCCGTCATTATTTATTTAAGTTTTTGTATATCTTCATGCGAAAAAAAATCCATTTTTCCATCTATTCTTATTTTTCCTATTTAAACCAAGTGACGAATAATATCTTACTCTTATTCGAAACGTCATTTATCTTCTTGCTTGTCGTGAAATAGTTTCAGTAATATTTCTTGAAATATTATTGTTTATGGCATTTTTTTATCGATTTATTTTCTGATATAAAATCGCCAATCTTGATACGAATAAATGTTAAATGATTTTAATCTTTTTCAAATGTTATGTTGTAATTTTTTGTTATACTTTTTTCGAATTTAAATTCATATATTTTATTTATGATATTTTAAGTTTAATTTTTTTTATTTTGTTAACTTTAAAAATTATTTGTTAACATTTTTCAATCTTGCTAACATTTATTTATTACAATTATTTCTTTAGTATAATTAACGATAATTGAAGAATTCATTAAAAAATTAAAAAACGAATAAAATATATTTTTTCTAAAAAAAAAAAGAAAAGAAAGAAATGAATATAAAAATAAGTAAATAAATAAATATAAGAAAAATAATAAAGAAATATAAATAAAAATAAATATATATATAGAAGATTCTGTTATATATTGATGATTGTAATGATATTGTACAACTATTATACTTTTAAAGTTTTCAAGAAAAGCAAATAAGATTTAAATATAATTAGAATCTTTTAAACATTTAATTATTATTAACAAATTTATAAACATTATCCTTACAATTAAAATTAAAATTTTTTAAATTATTATTATAACTATAATAATCTTAAATAGTAATAATTCGTTTTAAAGACATAATTCTTTATTCTATTTATTTTTTATGAAAATTGCCTTTCGTTTCTTTTTTTTGTGTTTTTAATTCAATATTTATAAAATAAAAAAAGAATGAAATAATAATTTATCTTTTATTCTATTAATTGCATATAAAAATTCAAATTTTACAAATGAATATAAAATAGTAATTATTATAAGGAGTAATTATAATTATTATAATGATAATATGATATCTAAAAGCACATAAATTTTTCTAGCTTAAAACTTATCATTATTTAAAGTTTTCTCATATTAAAATTTCGTTTTACTTATATTTATATTATTTTATATTCTTTGAGCCTTTCAATTTTGATGAATCAAAATTTAATGGATAGTATCAGTATTAGTTTGACAGCTTCAAATTCCTTAGAGACATTTCATATACAACCTAATAATTGCTTATTAAGTTAGATAACGTCATTCATAATTAATAGAAAGATGATGGTATACGCTTATAAATAGAGCACAATGAATTTCGTCAGAATTTTTTTTTTCCGGATAAAGCAAATAATTTGTTCATTTCAGAAGAAATTATACTGCAATGAATTATAATTAATGAATAATAGTAATGAATTATTTTTTTTTGCGATTACAAAAGTTCTATTTTTATATGTTTAATATCTTTAAATTTTTTTAGTATAATTTATATTAATAATTCATTTAAGAAAACTTTTGTTAAAATTTAAACAGATAAAAAGATATAAATTAAATAGAAATCAAATATTTAAAATAATCCAATGTTATATATTTAATATATATTGATATATTGAAAAAATTTATTATTACTTATCTATAATATAAATGATTAATATTATATTAATGATATGTTAAATGTTTACAATATATATATACATATATACCTTAAAAGCTTACATTCTAGCATGAAAAAGAATAAAAAGAAGAAACAAAATGTTAAAATTAATTTATTATATTTTTAACATATTTTCATATATTATTATGTCAAATTATATTATTAAAGATGAATACCACTGTGAAAAATAACTGGAAAAATTAAATTTTTTAAAACAGAATTTTATGAAAATATAAAATATAAAATAAAAATTTATTTATCGATATATATTATATTAAAATTTATTTATCTATTATATATTATAAAATCTGTTATATAAAATACATAAAGTAAAGTACATAAAGCTTTGAAAATTATTTGCGTAAAATTTAAAATGTCATACAAGTAAAATATTCTAATCAAGTATTAGAGTGTGTGAAAATTATACAAAAATAATATGTGTAAAATGTAATATATATGTATTACATTTATACACATAATATGTGTATAAAACGTAAAAGAAATAGATGATTCATTAAATAGATTATTATAAATTGTATATAAATAACAAGTTATCTTTAAAAAATTATTTTTAATTTCAAAAATTAATTAACAAATTAATTTAACAAAAAACATAATTTTTTATCTATTGAAGTATTACAACACATATATTACATATTAATTATTAAATTTCTGAATCCTTTCTTATTCCATTATTTCGTGGAATAACAAAATTTATGCATATAAATACGAGAAAACTTGCAATTTACCCCAAGCAAGCAAATATTAAATTTAGGATCGAAAGAATTCCTGGCAGAGTGCAGAAGAGTTGCGCAAATACAAAGACAACAACAGCAAGGAAAAGCAGAATACCGTATGGAAGCATCAAATGGACGAGCCTAAGTGTAATATTCAAAAGGAGAATAAAATGATGGGTGCTGCTGGTCAACCACCGATAATTACCCATACAGCGGCCACTCCTCAAGACTCACCGAACACTACCCTCGACGTCGGTTACAGAGATTTAAACTGTCGAGCTGTTTATCCTACTGCGGCATTGTCAATCGAATCTATCGATCGTTCAGGAGTACGTATATATTTTTTAAATAATTTTAGTATTTAATTCGTATCAGTTTTTTTATCATTGATATTTTGATATTTTAATACAATCATTGAAAACGTATTTGATCGCTTTTTAAAATAGAATAATTTATTTTAAAATTGGATACAATCTCTTTTTGATTATAAATGGCAATTTTTTCAGAATTGAATATATTAAATTTAAAGATTCGATATTATTTTATTTGTGAATATTTTATTTACACTTCAAAACAACAATGAACAATTATTTATAAAAACTTCTGTGATTATTCTTATTTTTTTTTATATACTTGGAGAAATTTATTTAAATAAATTTTGTTTAAGATTTATTTGAGATTGCATAATTTAATGGTAAATATAAATAAAATGGTAAATATAAATATAAATAATAAAATTATATAAATACAGAAATAAGTTTCAAAATAATATCATTGAGTTAAAGAAAAAAATAATAAAACCATGTAATAATTAAACTTCATAAATTAATTATTAGAAATAATATCATTAATATAAAAAAAGTATAAATGATTTATTAATAATATATTGTTGTCGATCTCTAATATATTCGATCATCATTTAAAATAGAATAACTTTTCTAAAATTATTTTATTATTATATATTATATATTATTATATATTATTATATATATTATATTATATATTATTATATATTATATACATTATATATTATTATAACTTATTCTAAAGTTGAATTGACAAGTAACTTAATTTTTTTTTGAAAATTTAGAAGAATTAATTTATTAGATAATGTGTAAAAAAAATTTTTTCAAAAATTAAAATTATAGATTTTGTCAGCTATATATATAAAATTTCATCGAAATTGGTTGATATAGAAAGAAGCAATAGACATCTAAGAAAAAGATCTATAATTTTAAAGAGCGATCGAGTACTTACGAAAGTTGTATTGAAAGCACATTAAATTTTCTTTCATGCAGGATTCACATATGCGATTCACGTATTTGATCATTCTTTTACATGGCAATTGATGTGAAATGAATAAATGAATCTCCATTTATATTCAATGTACGCGTTCGACTATAAGATATTCATCTGATGCAGTATCTAATTTCATAGTACAGTGAAATCTTTATATTCGTCATATTTTTTTCTTCGACAAAAAAATGCTTCGATATTCGTCCAAAAATTCAATATTTCTTACCTCTAGAAATTTCTTCTTTTGCATAATTTATTTTCTATTATTATGACTTTTCAATAAAAATTAAATTTCTACTTAAAATTTCATTTAGATATTTGAACCTCTAAAATCGAGAACAAGAATCGATTATATTTTTTTTTTGTTAATTCTTATTGAAAAAATTAATTTTATATTTAATATTTATCCGGATTTTTAATTTTATCAGGATTTGGAGATTTCATAGTATTATCTATTTATTCATAGTATTATAAACTTGTCAATTTATTACGAATGATTCATGTAATTGTTATGCGAATGCTATTATTTGTTTTCATATTTCATTAATTTAATCGATTCGAAGAAAACCGTTGATCGAGATCAAGCAAGAATAATAAAATAAAATTATGATTCTGAATCTCACGAGAATTATCGTTTGAAACTTTTATAAACGACATACAGTAAAGAACATAAATCAATCAATCGATATTTCAAACTACTAATAACTTCGTAAAAAAACAAATTTCACAACAATCAAACTATTAATTTTAAAGCATAAAACTTTTACTTTCATATCCTAAGTTCGTTTTTTTAAAGATATTTTTATATCATATAGTAAATAGATAACATAAAAACATTTTTCTTTTCAAAAATATGAAAAATTTAATCGATTCTAAAAAACATTGAAAAATGTGTTTCGTGATTGAATTTACATTAGAATTGAAGATGAAATCTTTCGTTTACATTCTCAAACTTCTACAATTTTTTTTTCTTGAATTATTGAATACTTTGAATATATATTTAACTGGAAAAAAATTTAAATAAATTAAAATAGAAAAATTAAATAAGAAAAATTTAATGTTTTTTAAACTATAATTATAATATTCAAAGTTTAATAACTTTTAATAAAATTGAAAAAAAATCCTATAACAAATTTTAGATTACAGTAAAGAAAAGATTTCAATCTTCTCTCTACAATAGTCTATTGTGGATTCAATCACGAAAATAATTTTTCAGTGTTTCTACAGCAGATTGAATTTTTCAAATTTTTCAGAAAAAAGTATCTTCACTTTTTTATTTGCTACATGAAACATCTGCATATAGAAACATCTTTGAAAAAAAACGAATTCAAAAAATTTCACTTTAAAATTAGTTCATTTCTTGTCTAATTTTTTTTTTCTTACAAAGTTATAACAATTTAAAACATCGAGAATTTATCGAGTTGGTTAACTTATATTTTTTATTATGTGTATATCTGTGTATATATGATTGATATTCCGTAAATTGCGATTCAAAAATTACTGTGAAAAAAGACAAAAATATATTATAAATACTTATATTTTTGATCGAATATTTTATACTATATATACATAAATATTTAATCACTTTTATCTTTTCAAAAATAATTGTCTTAAACAAAAATATATCAAAATTATTTAAAATGATTTTAGATATTAATTAACTTATAATTATGATAATAATAATATCGAATATTCTGATGAAATTATTTGATTTGCCTTTAATATTCTTTATATAGAATGACATAAAATAATTTTGCATTTATTTTTTAAATTTTATAATAAATCAGAATTTAATGTATTATAAATGATACTTGTCGAAACCACATGTTTTTTGATGTGGAAAAATTATTTTGAGAAATAAATCTATAAAGTTATTTTTTTTTTGTATTTTTTGTTTGATGTTAAATAAAAAAATTATTTATAAAAAATTGAACATATTTCAATTTTTTAAACTAAAAATTCACTTTATCTTTTTGATAAAATAATTTAGATTCTTTTATATTTGTTATACCGTACGGTTATTCTATGGAATAATTTATTTTAATTTTTAACCAAAATATAAAAAAACTTCTTATTTTCAAAAAATTATTACTATCTTAAAAATATCTTTGCATAAAAAATAAATAAAGTACCACATGATCTAATATCTTATACATGTTTACTTTTACATACACATTTATTTTAAAGATATTATTTTAAAAATATTATATAATATAAATAAATAATGTTTTTTTGATGCTATATGCTTAAATTCTATTCTCTATGTCTAACAATATCGATGTTATTTATTTTGCAATTTTTTTAAATTTTAATTTTAATTGAATTATATGAATATTAAGATACTTAAATTACATAGATAATTTTTCAAAAAGAGAATTTTTAAAAAAGGCGACATCTATATTTTTTTAATATTAAATAAATATTCATAATTTATTCTTATTCTCTATTTTGTTTTTAAAAATATACAAATTTTAATCCATTGCCTATGAAATTTTATTTTTTAGAGTCAGTGTAGTATTCCTTCCGGCTTGCTAAAGCTACCAGACGTTTCAAACAAAATACCAACTAAAAATCTCATTGCCGGACAATTTCCTCGACGAATAAGCCTTGTTACCGCTGTTATTAATCCAGCAACGAGAGAATCATCTAGTTCAAGGTATGTACATGCATATATTTTACATACAAAGTCAACTTTGTACATAGAAAATTAGAATAAATCACATTAAACGTAAAATTGAATGAAACCTTGTCGCTTTCATTCTACTTAAAATTGTATAACTATTTTTTGTTTCAGTCCACCAAGGATACAAAGGGGTTATTCGTGGAAATTATCACGGCCATCTTTGAGGAAGAAACGTTGGTCACAAACGGAAGATGAACCTCCTGGTAGAGCCACTGTTCTAAATAACGGTCGAAGCACTATATTAGGTTCCAATTCAACGTAAGTTTGAATAAATAATATAATATAATATTTGTAGATAAAAAAATAAAAAAATAGTAAATAAATAATTTATAAAATGATTTTAATTAGATAACGTATTTATTATATATGATTTCTGAAATTTATTAATATCATTTTGGAAACTTTGTAGCTCTCAACGGGAATAATTTATTGATTTTAATATAATTGAATATTTTAAAATTTTTTGTTATATTAAATTATTTTAACCATTTCTTATTTTCATAACTTAACATGTTCGTCATATTGACACAATATTAAAAACATCAACAATGAAATGAAAAGATAAATAATTAATTTTGTTAATGATTTTATTCAAAATAAAAAAATTAATATTTACATAATATTCATATTTTTCAGATTTTATTCATGTATTCGATTTCGTATTATTCTCGATTTTACTATTGTTAATTTTGTTTCGCGATATAGAGAAGAAACGAAGAAAAGATTTTAAAAATTTTTTTTATGTATTTATTATTTATTCAAAGCATATTTAGCTGCAATCTGACAAAATAATATAACGAATGCATACTTGTATTAATTACAAAGCAATAAATTAATCGTCTAAAGAATTTTATAAAACATAAAAATTATATGTATCGAATTGACATATAAGATTCTTTTTATAACAAATGTTGTTATATCTTTTTATTACATATTTTGTCTAATAATATTAAATATTTTTTATATTTATATTTTCTTTTAGGTAAAAGTCTAGAATTAATTTTTTTACAAAAAACACAATAACATCATTTTTTAAAAAAATATATATAAATAACTCTTAAATTGCTAAATTTAAGAATATTTTAAGAATCCAGGAATAAGACAATAAAATTAATTCTATTAATAAAATAAAATTTCTATTCAATAAAATTAATAGTTACAAAATGTGCTTGGATATTATTGTGGAGAAGAACCATTTCTCTGAATTTTGAGAGACGATTGTTTTCTGCTATTGTTCTTACAAATAAATGTTGCAATTTAACATTTCACAATAAATGAAAGCATCAATAAATTAAAATAGTAACTTCTTTATCGTGCTCAATTACAATTGATGATTTTCATTTATGATACTCAGTGTTATTATTATATATATTTATTTTGAGTATTTTTCATCACGTATGCATATCATTGACTGAATTCGAAATATTTTATCTATAAAGATATTAATTTTCTATGTTATATTAATATTATATATTGCATTATACTTGGATTATTGGATTTCGATCGTATTATGTACATCAAAATTTGAGCGTCCTTTATACAACCATATTTAATGTATATATATATATATATTTAATTTAACATTAATTGAAACGTATTACTGATTAACTCATTGATATATTTTATTTATTAGTCGCTTAAAAACATATATAAATTATCAATTACAACAAAATTTGATTATGATAGATATTTCATATTTTGTACTAAAATGATTATTCTAAAATGACCAATATTTTATAATACGAACAAAGAAATTTTTTTTATTCTTTTATTTTTTTGATTTTCATTTAAATATTTACTTATTTTTTTTGTACATATACAATTTCAAAAGGAATATGAAAAAATTTAATCATATTTTTCTTTTTAACAGTAATAGGTAAAAATATTATTCATGAGATTTAAAATAGAGGTGATATGATTGACTTGAAATTTTAAATAATTATTAATAACGGATATGAATAAATAAAAGATTAAATAAAATACATCAAAATCAAACTTCTATATTAGATTTACGATTTACTTTATTAAGTAAATCTTGTTGATATATAAGAGGTATATTAATAATAAATTAATTAAAATATTTTAAAGTAGTGCCATAAAATAATAAAATCTTTTCATTCATTTCTGTACTAATAAAATATTGATTTTTATGTTTTTGTGATTTTTAAAATTATTTCATCATATTTTTTCTTCGATATTTAATTTCTAAATTCGTAGATATTAATTTCTAACTTGACATAAAATAGAAAAAAACAATCTACATATTGATCTACATCAATGATCAATCTACATTATATTTAAATTGTTAAAATTAATTTTTTAAAGACAATAATAAAATATAATATCTTATGCATTAGATGATATGCATTATATGTAATGCATTAATTTTCTTCCTTACATATATTATGTTTTAATTTAATATATCTTATTATTTTCATTAGAGATATTTTTATATATATTATAAATAATAGCAAATCATTATTAATCTGATATTACAATATATTGTTTTTGATTATTTTTAAATAATTTTCTTTTCGATTTTGTAAAAATTGTATATCCCGAAAAAAAATATAAATAAAATTTTAAAAAAACTTAAAATAACTTTTTTCTCAAAATAGAATCAAGTAAAAATTTAAAAGATTAATTATTGCCTTAATTAATTATAAATCGCAATTAACGATTAAATTTTTAATTATTAATTACGATTAATCAATAAATATTTATCTTTAATTATTCATTGCGATTGAATTAAAAATTTAAACATCAATTGGATGATTGTATACAACTGTTGAAATTCTTTTTTCAGAGATAATTACTATTCTATATGAAATTTGTTCAAACGTTTTCGCCTTATTTTTGATGTCGCTCGCGGCTAAGAGTCGATTAAAATATCGGAAGACGATAAAACCTATGTAAAGCATTTGTCAAATAATATTAGAGCACGATGCAATGAGATAAAATTTATTCATTTTTATTATGGACTACTTATTTCAAAAATTTTATAAAAATTATAAAAATAATTTTAAATGTCAAATATCAATTTTAATTATAATTTTAATCAAATCAATTTACGATTAATTTAATGATCAATAATTAAATTAATTTTTCGATGATTAATTTTTTTAATCGTATATCTATTTTAAAAATTTTAATCTATTAATGTTTTATTCTGTTTTATATATTTCAATGTCAAATATTGAAAGTTAAAATATTTTTTATCGAATATTTTAATGCAGTCAATTTCTGTTAATATTTAAATAATTAAATATGATAAAAAAAATTAAAATATTTGAGCAGAATAGAAACAAAAAATTATATTTTCGAAATTTTCATATGAAATTAACAAAAGAAGATTTAAGATTTATTCTAAATAAATCACTTTATTACATAATGAAAGTTTACTTTAATTTCTTTTATAAAAATATTTATAGGAAAAAATTTAAAAAATTGTAATAAATCAATAATCAAAAAGAAATTTAATAATTTTTTATTTTTGATTTTTATTATGTTTTGATTTAAAGAATTAAATTTAATAAATTTTTGAACATCTATAGTGATTCAATTTATGTACATTATTTTTAGAACAAACTTAGAAAGAAGATTTAACTTATTTAGTGATTTACTTTTAGATTTTTATAATTTGTTCTAGTTTTATATAAAGTTTTACTATTTATTATAATCTTCTAAAAAAAAATATTTCTTCAATTTTTAAGAGTGAGAGTATAAAGAAAAAAACTTACTTCATTATTTCTTTTATAATTCTGAACATAATATAGTTTGATATTCTCAATATTTTTAATTTTATTTTTTATTAGAAAAATTTATTATTTATCATATTAGAAAAACAATATTAATAGATACATAATATTATACTTATTTATAATTTTTTTCTTTTTATAATTATTTTTTTGAATTTATATATTATTACTCTTTAATAAAATAACTGAATTTTGTTAAAGTTAAATAAACTCTTTATATAATAATATTCTGAAAAAATAATTTTTTTAAAATGTACATATATAACAATTTAATTATATTTTTCTTCTATTTTTATAATTTCTATTTTTATAATTTTTATTTTATATTATTATAATATAATTTCTATTTTTAAAATAATATAAGAAGTCAATATTTTCTTATATATATCATTAAAAATATATTTTTTTATATTTTATTGTTTCTTCAAATTATATTATTAATATTTTTTCTCTTTTGAAATATTGGAGTAAAAGAAATGTGCATTAAAATGTTAAAGATGCATTTCTTTGTTTTTTGTTCTACTTTCAGATCTTAATCAGTTAAACAGCAATTAAAAGTATATTTATTTATTAGAATTAAACACGATATCTGCTAGTTAAATATTAATTTCTTTTCTCCTTCAATTACTTCTTTAATTACATGCAAGGATATTCTCAAAGCTAAATATCCAAGGAGTGGAAATTTCCACTGTACATATCGTTCCTCAAACAACGACAGTTACAATAACGTCCATTCAGGACAAACGAATACACGAACATGTTTATGCTCTAGTTTCTCCTTTAATATAGTAACTTTCGGAAAATTACATTTCAGTTTCAACGGCGGTTATTTACACGGTTCGATAAGAAATGACACACAAAGCGACACACCGAATAATCGAACGACCGTCCTAACAAGCAATAATCGTAGTCTCAGCCCTAATAATTCCATCGAAAGCCGTAGCTCCTCCATTAGACGTTACACAGCAACGCCCAATCAAGTAAGTGTTTTCAAAAATTATAATGAATTATCGATTGAATAAGGGAAAGAAATTTTTATATTTTCTAAAAATGTGTATTGTTTTTATTGAATTGGGGAAAATAGATCTTTCGAAATAAATGAATAAAGAAAAAATAATATTTTTATTTTTCGTATGATATAGAATTTTACGAATATATGTATATATTTTTTTAAATAGTTACATAAAGAAATAGTATTTCAAAAATAGGGAGAGAATTCATTTAAAAAAGATTCGACTCGAATATCTTCGAAATTATTGACGATATTGAAGAATGTTTCGAAAGAAAAATTGAAAATTTCGAAAGATACATAATATGACATAGACAAATTTTTCTAATTGGACGCGTAAAGGAAAGTTAATTTTGTTTTCTTAAATAAAGTTACTTATTTTCTTATACAGTAAGTGACACAACTTGTTAAAATATCAATAAAATGTAAAATATTTGGATTGATTTAAATAATTAATTAATTATATTTTAATACTCGTATTAAATATTATATTGAAACAAATATTTTATTAAAATACTTATATAATATTTAGAATAGATAATTTTTAATTTTTATTAAAAACTTAAATTATTAAAATTATTTATATTTCAATTTATATTTAAATTTTTTAAATTATTTTTAAATTTTTTTAATTATAACAAGTCTATTTTTAGAAATAAATTAATTTTCTAATTTTTTTTTTCATTATAATAGGAATGTAATTATGATTAGAGATATGCAATTTTTTAAAATCTATATTTTGTTTTTAATATTAAATAATTAAAATTTCTTTAAATTATGATAAATAAAAATAAAAATTTCTGAAATAAAAATTTTAACAAATTTTCAGAGATTTAAATAGTTTGTAAAAATTATTTATAATGTACTTTTTATAACGAACATAGTAATTTTAAACTTTTAAACATTTATCTTTAAACATTTTTTTTAGATTTTAAAAATAATTTAAAAATTTGATTTCATATCGTTTAACAAAGAATATTTACAAAAGTCTTTTGCTTTCATTCGACATAATTTTTTATTAAATGTGCTATTAATTAAAAACGATTTTTTAGAAAAACAAGTTTTTTTTGACAATGAAAATAAAAATACGAACCAAAGGTGTTATTTAACGAAAGTATATATTGTTACCATGTATTGTAATATATATATTCCATGCATTAAGAGTTTTAGGATTACAAATTTCTTGAAAAAATTTCAACTTTCTTTCACAATGTCTTTCGAATCCGGAAGATCAATTTTCTTATTTCAAACTTTTATTCTTTAAAAAATTATTATTTTATTATATTTATTATTTTTGAAAATGAATGAAAACATAAATTTTCTTTTCGAATTATTGTGTATTTTAAGTAAATTAAAATTTTTTGATTTAAATATCTAAATATTGATATTATATATATAGTGAATTATAATAATTATAAAAAGTCATATATTTATATCTTAAAAAAAGAAATTCATCCGTTTTGATAAATCTAATTTTATTGAAAATTTATTTATATGAATATAAATTTATTTTACAAAGTTTTTTTGCATGTGTGAAATCAATTCTCAAGTTTTTATATATATATATTTTTTTTTCATATTTTATACAATATCGCGTGGAAATATTTTTTACAATAGAATAATAGAATACTAAAATCATCGTTAAATGTTAAAATATCGTTAAAATATACTAATAAATAAATATATATACTTATTAGTATATCCTTATTACAAAGTTATATTTTTTAAAATAAGCGAAAATATTATTGAAACTTTAATTGAATTTTAGCTTTGAAATGCTTTGAAATGAAAAATAAAAATTATTTTGACCTATACATTCAATATTTTATAATGTAGAATTTTAAAATAGAATTATTATTGATTTCGATAGCATAATTTATTAATTGAATTTTTAAAATGCGACTTAAAATGTTGAATATATAATATTTACATATTGCAAGATAATTATGAAGTGTGACAAGAATGTTTCCATAATAATTCTTTTTATTATTATTATTATTGTTGTTATTATTATTATTATTATTATTATTATTATTATTCTCTTTTTATTATTATTATAACAATATTTATTTTTATAATTATAACAATATTATTATCATAACAATTTATCTTTTGCATATTGTATAATCTTTATGATTTATATTTCAATTTATAAATTCTCAATCCATGAATCACGAAGAAGTTTACAAAATGATTTTGTGAAATATTACCATAGTTATTTTTATTCGCAGTTATTTATATAAAAAATTTTATAACGAAAAATTTTAATTCTTTTTACATTTTTATTCGAAATAAAAATAATAAATAAAAAAAATAATTATTTTTACAAATAAATACTTTTACAATTTACAAATAAAATAGAAAATAAATTCATTTAAATAATAAATTCTGAAATTCATTTATTATATATTTATTATAATATATTATATATTATTTATTTATTATATATATTACTTTTAAATAATCTATTTATCAAATATTTTATTATTTCAAATAATAATAATGAAAATTAAAAATAACAAATAATAAAGTTCTTGGTATATAAGAAATATAAATCTCATTTCATAATCAAATTAAGAAATAAATTAGAAAATATGAAATAGTGGTGTAGGTGATATACAAATTAGTTTGAAAAATTTATATTCATAAGTTGATATTTTTATTTTCTTTATTTCTAATATTATGTTGGCTTTAAATTATACTAAAATAATAAAATAACTAATATTGGATAAAAAAATAAACTCAAAAGCACAGTTTCATTTTCTGTTAGTTAAATTTCACTGATTTTCAGCCCTTCAATTAAATTTAAATAAAGAAAAGTTTTGAAAATAGAATTCTATTTTGAAAATAGAACACATAAAATTCTACAAGAATAAAATATCTTCATATTTTCGTAGCGAAATCAAATAAAAAATCTAAACAACAAAAAATATTAGATAGCAAAGATAATAAATATTAAATTGAAAATTTATTTTCAAATAAAAAAAATACTCTTTATTAAATATTAACATTTTATTATGATTTACATTCATTTAACTACTAATATTTTTATTATTACAAAATTTATAATATACAAAATTTATAATATATTCGAGATATTTTTTCAACTTTAGAAATTTAAACAAACATAAATATTTTTTATACATGAATATATAAAAATATAAATTATGACTTATTTATTAAATAAAATTATCTCCATTACATCATTATATTCTATTCTAATCTCACGAACTTAAATTACTTGTAACTTAATAAATAAGTGTCGATTGATTTTATATCAACTTTTGTATTTTTTTTAATATTTTACATTTCTTCTTCTATAGAACTCCAACTGTAAATATATTAACCTCTATATGTATATAAATAGAAAAAAGTTAGAAATGTTTCTGATTTCAAAGTTATTGAAATCGATGAGATATATCTTCTTATAAATAAAATATTATCGATATTTTAATTGTGCATACATTGCTCACATATAATATTAAAGGTGAATCTATAGTTGGAATTCATATATATTTTGAAGATGCGATGGATTAGCGACCTTTCGCGAAGAAACTCGTTGCGTGGAAACGAAAATGTTCAATCACCAACAAGGAAGACTTTGCCTCTAGACGAGGTGCCTATGCAATGCTCAACGGCACGTACAATCAATAATTTATCAATGGAGACTGGTCCACTGCCCAGAATTAAACGACTTCCCGATCAAGATGATGACAATCCTCGTACAGACGAACAGACACCTCCCTTAAATGGTCATGGTAGTGCGAGCAGTATCGAGAGAATTAAAAAGATTTTCATGTTTTTTGAACCTAAAGGATGCCTTAAGGAACGCGATGATTACTCATTGTACATTTTTCCACCGAATAACAGGTAACTTTATATATTAATCGTTACTAATAATCTAATAATAATAATAATAATAATAATAATAATAATAATAGTTTATCATAGAAAATTATCATTTATATTATATGAAAATTGTATGAAATAATAAATAAATGTGACTTAATAAGTCACATTTTATAATTTTTACAAAAAAACAGATTATCATAAAAGATTTGTAGCTTATAAATTAAAAATAATTATTGAAAATAATTATATAAAATTTGTCAGTTAGTTTTCTATTTAATTTTAATTTTTTTGAAACGTTTCTTTTTAGCTATTAAATGATATAAAAAACAGAAAATCAAGAATGAGATAATGAAAGTTTTCTTATGATATATTTAATATAATATAAATATAAAGATTAATTAATAATATAAGTATAATATAATTGTGTGATGTTTATATTTTATGACAAATTTTAATAACAATATAATAATAATAATAACAATATAATAATTAATTGATTGTTAAGTATATATATCATATATATCTAATGAAGATTTATAAAATTGTTTTTATAATATTATAATATAGTAATTAAAGTTTTTGTAATAATCTATAATTTCTTTCTTCATGTTAAAGTTTTTTAATATATATATATATATATATATATATATATTATTCTATTTAAG